TGCAATATAATTGTTACCACTTCGACAAGACTGTGAATAGCGCGACTCACTCATAATTGATACACTTTATAAATGATACGGCAATCAAATATATATATATATATATATATATGATTATATATATATATATATATATATACATATACATATATATCGTGCGCTAACTAATTATTACTGAGGTTGCATTGTCGGTTTCTTATTCCGGTAGAGCGTAATTTCTCATCGTCACGAGAACACGCGCGTCGCTCGTTTCGCCCAAGTATTATTATTTCAGATCGATCGAAAATAAAACGAGCAATTAAATTGAATGAAAGTCTTAATCGCGCGGGCACGAAAATTGCGCGACGACATTCGGCGGTTTCCCAAAGGATTTCCAGCCTATTTCTCCGACATTCATCGCTTATTATTTTAACTGGGACTTACAGAAGCGCCGGACGCCTGTCGGTATATATAGGTGTTAAATTAATACCGGTCGCTAAATGCGCCGTGTGAACAGGTCAGGTGTTCGTAAAGCGTTACGAAGCGACGCACCCGTTGTGCTCCAAGTCGCTTTTCGCGACCCCTTCTAGAATCGTCCCGAGACCTCATAATGAATTACATGATTAGGCGATTTTATTGACAGCGATATACATACACGACGATCTCGATTTTCGATCGAAGGCGACCAGACATCCGGACGCACCTGAAAGGTAATCTTCCAGCTCGTCGTCTCCCTTTGGTTTTTTCCCCGTGTCGAATAATCGATCGATGCTTTGTTGATTTTAAACGGTTTTCTGTCAAATCGACCGAACCGTGAAGAAGTTGAAGAAACTCGCGATTCCGGCCGGGGAGAGCCGCAAACTTCCGCTCTGTTCGTCGAGTAAGCGACACGATACATTTTTAATCATTGTTACAGAGACTACGCGGCGCATCGAGTGCCGTTGATTAATCGGCGGCATGTTCGAGATTTTAATTAATCTTGGAAAAAGAGAGAGAGAGAGAGAAGCACGATGGACTCTCTCGGCGAAGAAATTGCTTTGCCCTCGATACTACCGCAGGAAAGCAATCGGCAAACGAACCCTCGATTCCCGAAGGAACTCGACGTATCCCTGTTTCGTGCACGCTTTATCGACTATTCGGCATTCTTCGCGTTCCTCTTCAAAGTCCGTTCTTTATTCTTCAGAGGATCAACGGCGTCTTGACATTTGTGATCGAGCGGCACGTAACCACTTTGGTTACGAGAAAAAAATGTTTGATAATTTTACCTGGATTGATAAAGAGCTAAGAAATAAAAAGAACTTGCGGATCTGTGCTTTGCAAATCATAGTCATGCATGACTGATGTTATAACGTAGAAGAAGAGGAGAGATAGCGATACAATGGATTGAGGTTACCGGCAAGTAATGTCGGAGAAATCGATTCCGACTGAAATCTACACATTCCGCTAAATTGTGCGCTATACCGAGCAATCTTCTGCAGGGAGAGACCACCTCTTCGGCTCGATTTAATAGCGCTCGTGCGCGGCTCGGAATTTAGAAATCGCCGATTATCTTACGATAATATACGCGCCGCGCACCGCAATAATTCATTTTTTCACATCAGCACCGGCGTACGAAGAGAAATTCGTCGAAACGAATTTATCGATTTTCGAATTAATTTCTCGCTCGCTATCTGCCGACCCTCGGCTTTCGCCGGAGGAACCGGGGGAGAGGAGGGTAAAAGGGCGGGGGGTGGAAAAGTATTCCCGGGAAATATTTCCGTTTTTACGTAGCACGAGCAGCGCGAGGGGAGAGTATAGAGACGGAGATGGGATGGGAGTTCTGATTTCATTAGGCCCTGTGTTATGCGATTAATTAAGTCGCGAGCTTCGAGGAAAAATAAGAGGTGGAGCGCGGATTGGACTCTCTTTCTCTCTCTTGCTCTGCTTTTTTTTATATCGCTCTCATCTCTGCGCTTTTTTCCCTCGTTAGATCAAGAGAGAGAGAGAGAGTAAAAGGAAGAGAGGAAAAAATGAACTCGAGACATTTCTCGCCGAGGGATGGGCGTTATTAGCCAGCTTGGAGAAACTCTCGAACTGCCGACCAGCGAATTAACGCACAGCTACTAGACGGAATTCAATTCTTTAGGCATCTTTAGAGCACGCTATCGAGCCGGACAAATATCTCCCTTTAATTTTCATCATTCGAGAGATACCGAAAAATTAAATAAAAGAAATGATACCTGTCTTTGCGAAACTACAAGTAATGATTATTATGAAAATATCGGTTGATCGCGACGCATCTATAGTAGAAGGAGGAGAACATCGTCCTCTCCAATCTGTTCGCCATTTTCTCTCCCTCTCTCTCTCTCTCTCTCTCTCACTCTCTCTTTGCCGGATGACTACTTTCGAGCCCCGGAAAATTCCGTCGTAACAATGTGACACCGGCGTTCGCAACGGCGCGCGATATTAACGACGCGCGGCCGTATTCGCTTTGTGAAGCGAACTATAACTGAATTTGGCCCCGTCATTTTATGCATCAGACTCGCCATGCCCGTATAACTGAATTCGATGGGTAACGCAATTACACATCTTTGCCCGCGCGTCGCGCAGATATACGCCGCGCTCCGCTCCGATACATGTGTGCGGACCACACCTACGCGAGTACCATTAATTATTATACATGCGTATATATAGCGACGTGTGTCAACGATACGCCGGTACAGTCAGTCCCGACGACGGAAGTAATTCGGCGGATCGCCGGAAACTGTCAGAGATCGCGCGACGCGCTCCCGAATCGCCGGTCAATTTTTTCAAATTCACAAATTCGCGAGGGATATCGGGCTGAATGAAAGATTTATCCTTTATTATTTCTTCATCATTCCGACTCTGGATTACTCAGGGAATGTGACAAATCGCTGTCTCATTTTTACCAATTTACGGTATATCATGATACGAATTGCACGCGGCATGTGTAGATGCATATATGAAACGGGAAAATTCAAACAGCGCGGACTGTGTACGGTATCGAGGAAGGGGAAACTAGGCATCGGACGGCAGAGAGTGCCGCTTGGTATATGTCGGAGTGGTTCGCTATATATAGACACGTAGATATAACGCTCGACAGCACTCAATCAGAAGTCATAATACATTTACCACGACCTAATGAAGACTTGATGAAAGGCTACCGCTGGGACGGAGCCAGTGGTTCTCAGAGAGGGAGAAGGAGAGGTGGCATGATTAACGAATCGATCAAACGTATAAGTTGATCGCAAAGTGTCGAAGAAAACTCGGGTCAATTTTTCCAAATTGAACGTACAATATTTTTCTGACGAACTGACCAACAATGACACTACTCGTATATATGGGGAGAATGCGGTCTATAGAAAGGAAGGTATTAACGTCGAGTGGCAAATAGACTTTGGGAAAAACACAGGAGGCAGCCAAAGCCGCGAGATAGCTGTCAGAATAGCTGTATGCGAGAGATCTACGTAGCCCTTTCCCAGTTTCTTCGTGCCGGCCGGCAAACGTAATCCTCGGAAATTAAAAATTCCCGCTTTTTCAAACGGTCTGAAGCGTCTGAGGCGAGCGAAGTCAGCGAAGGGACTGATGGAGGGCGACTCGCCCCGTGGGCACTCAGCTGGACGTGGTTCCATTTACAGAAACTCCATCAAAGGGATTGTGGCATTACGCTTTAGAGTTTCGGTGTGCCTGGCAAGACGGCCGTTCTCTCTCCATCTCTTTCGCCTGCTTCTTTCTCTCTCTCTCTCTCTCTCTCCTTTCTGGCGGCCGAGGATAAAGTGACTGCGAGTGTACTCTCGTGCAGTGACTTTGCTAGCCGCGAAACGTTCACCGTGTCTCTGCCGTAAATGAGTATTTGCCTTTGTGAATAAATAAAATGCATTACAAAGTTTCCGCGAGTTGTTCGGAGAGGCGAAGAAGCGGTAAATGAAGACGACAAGGGAATTGCATAGGTAGAAAGTTTGTTTAGAATCGGGAATAAGATTTGTAATTACTCTTTAAGAAAAAAGATAATTATTAAGATTTACGTTAATATTTACTTCGCGCGTTTAACTTGTTCATATAAGAAGCAAGAGACTGAAGGGCGGCGGCGACGACGACGACGAGGAAAAGGAGGGAGGATCGAATGTACAGGGCAGGGAGCAACATCTAAGACAATGAGATACGGGCCTTTGGAGTAATCCTCCGGCCTTCCTTAGCGTATCGACATTAATTCCCTTGCCCCCAGCTTTTAACCGGAACAGACGCACCCTATAATAGGCAAGTTGGAATCCAATCTGCAAGTTTGCAAATTCGATTCGGCTGTCTTCAGCGAGAGAAGAGAGCGTCGAACGAGCGAAGCTGCGCGAGATGCGCCTCTCAAGCGTGAAGCTTGCAACGCGTATGCGGTAATCGATGCACGACGTCTATGATGCCTTTGGTCCGGGTCTTCGACGCGAGATAATCGTGCCATACGTTATTTTATTCTTGGACCATCGGATCTCCGCCGATATCAAAGTCGCATTAGCCCCGTTTTCGAAGAAAGCGCGATGAAAGTGAAGAATGTCAACGACCGGCTTTCTTTGTTCGAAAAAGCGACCTCGTGTCACCGTCCTCGTGCACTCAACGCAAATTTTAATCTCTCACCCACAACCTTTAGCTAGTCGATAAACGAGCTCGCCGTATTCCAAAAGTCTTTGTATAAAAAGTATTCAAAAAAATATATTAATATACTAAGCAATTTACGGAAAAATCTTCGTTAACTTGGCACTTTTATTCGAAATATCAAATCTAATAATTAAGTGCTTATTTATTATTGAACTCTTGAATTTTTTATTTGAATTCTTGAATTTTTCAAGAATTTTTTGCTGTAGTATTTTATTTTGCGAATATAAATACTTTTTATAGTAGGAATAATGCAAAAAGTTTAACTGTGCGACATCATTAAAATTAAAATCTTTATGTAATGATATAAAATATACCTCTATGATCAATAATATTCTATTACTTTGAGAAATTAAAATAAAAAATAATTTATCACTTACCGGTACGATGTAATGCGCAACGACGGAGCTGAAGAATACCAAGTTGATCTGTAAAATACAAATATATTTAAATTATATAAGATAATGCCCTAAATAATTAACATTTCAAAAAATAATTATTGCACACAATTAAATTTTTATTCGTCTCTTCAAATAAATATCTGATGGAAAAAATGATAGACTTTTTGGAAATTTTTTTTAAATATCAATTTTGATAAAATATGCAAAATAAAGACTTGTTGTTTTATCTAAATAATTATAAATCTAAAACAATATTGAAATATTTTACATATTTATATAAAAATTTATTATTATGAATATTTTATTAGTGTTTAATTACTTTAAATAGTTTAAAATAAAATCTAAGATATTTTATACGCACAGTGTTGTAAAATGAATGAAAACTATCGCGATACTAAGCAAACATTTAATTTTATAAATAATAGAAATAATAAAATTAACTAAATTAAATAGCTCACTCTGATTATTCTATCCATTGCCCCGATGCCTTTTCAAGCTCCTTTTTCTCTTTTGTTTGTTCTTTGCTGTTCCTTCTAGGCATTCACACTCGTAAAAACACAATTAATTACAATCACGCATTATTCAACAAAATGCCACGATCGTGCGGCACTTTACACATAACACTCCCGATATTAATCGCACATAACCCACATTTTATTTTATATTGTGACAGGAGAATAAGTTAGACGATGCTGCAATTCGTTCGGAAAATCGCGCGAATAAATTCATACAATGCTATCTCTGTTGTTAATTAAATAGTATGCGCACGCATTTTACAAAAAAAATTAATTGTCTCATTATAACACAAGCGAATAGATTTACAAGTTAAAATGAAACATAGGTAGAATATAATATCTCAGAATATATCTCGCCGTCGTTTTAACGATTTGCGTGATAGATTTAGAACAAAAATAAATCATATAAAAGACACACGTTTTATTAAAATAATGATGTTAATACCAAATGTACTTATTAAACGCAACACGTCAATTAACCAATTCGATTTATTTACTTGCGATGTTTCGTTAATGACTGAAAAATTCCAAAACGAAACAATCAAACAATTTTAATGATACTATGCGCATGATATAATTCGAGACTACGCAAATTAATGGCAAGTGAGACGTGAAACTGATTGTAAAAATTATTCGTCATGCAGTTTGATAATCGCAAATTGTAATAATAGAACGTATGATTATTTCGTACTCTTTTATCGTTCGTACTTGGAGAGATAATAATACAATAATGAACCCTTTTGTCTACGTGCGACAATGTTGTTGACATTCGCACGTACACGCACGATGATCTGTCATTCGTGCGATGAGACTCGAACGAACAACATCGAACTGCGTATTATCTCTCAAAGTATGTACGATCGCGACAAATAATCATTCTTTCTATGTTTATATTACAATTATCATTATTTAGAGATTATCAAACTGTCAAATCTAATTAATTTTTGTGATTATCGCATCTCAACTGTCCATTGATTCGCGTAATTAATGCTTCGTAGTAATAAAATTGTCGATATTGTTTTTTCGAATTTTTCAGTCATTGACAAAATTTCGCGGATATCAATTGATATCGAATTGATTCGACGCGTTTAATAAGTTGTTAATTAACGCCGAATACTTGAATAAACAATATTTATCAATTTTATAATTTCGGCGTTTGATTATTGAAACATGTGTTGATATATGAATTTTACATTCAAATCGACAAAACGATTCTTGAATATTATATATTCTATGAATATTTACTTTTGATTTTTACTTCATCTATTCGCTTGTATTATAATGAGAGATAGTAATATCGTTGTAAAAGAGCGTGCGTATACTATTTAGTTAATTAACCACAGAGATAGCATTGTGTGAATTTAATCGCGTGATTTTCCGAACGAATCGCAGCTTCGTGTTTAACTGTGATTATCCTCTTGTCATAATATAAAATAAAGTGCGCGTCATGTACGATTAACATCGAAAGTGTTATATAAAGTGCCGCGTGACCGTTGTATTCTGTTAAATAGTGCACGCGCGTAATTAATCGTGTTTTCGCGAATGAGTGTCCTGTGAATATGAAGGAGCAGCAAAGAACAAACACAAGAGAGGAAGAGATCTGATAAGGCATCGAGCCATGGAGCAACCATGGGGTGAGCGATTTAAAATTTTATTAATTTATTATTTGTCTTACTAATAAAATTAATTGTTCGCTTATTTTCGTGGCTCTACATCACTATGTAAAATAATATGTGCGTATAAAATATTCTAGATTTTATTTTAAAATATTTAAAGTATTTAAAATGCTAACAAAATATTTATAATAATTAATATTTTCAAATAAATAAATATATATATATATATATATATTATCGATATATTTCAATCATTTATATAAGAATTGACTTTTTCTATTGCATATTTCATAAAAATATCTGGAAATTATTTTCGAAATTTCTGTATAATTTTTATTAATATAAGTATATATTTATTCAAAAATATAAATATTTAACATGAATATAAATATTTAATTGTGCGCAATAATTAGTTTCTAAAATATTAATTATTCTAGACATTGTTTTACATAATTTGAATATATTTACATTTTCAACAAATCAATGTTGTATGCGTTCTGCAATTCCGCTGTTGTGCATCCCAGTAAATGTTAAATTATTTTATATCTCGAATGAAATATTATATTAGATATCGGTACGTGAAACTCTTAAATTGTCGCTCTGTGAATCACAAATTCTAAAATTATTCTTCCTAACCAGCAGAAATTGAGAATCAAAAAGGAAAATGCTAACTCGACATTAGCTCCGCTTCCGATAAACACTTGTAACGAATAAACAAAAAAATAATACCTTTCAATTTGATTTCTCGTGATGGAAATACCAGATTAATACAAAGTTGTAGAAGAAAAAATAATAAAGTTTGTAAACAAAGAATCGTCGTTCTCGGATTTAGCAAATGCTCCGAAGAACATCGCGTATACAACGCGCGCATTGCACGAGTTAGTATTCTCGACGGAGTTGTGTATTATTCAAATTAGATTCCTCGGGTTGAGCGGCGTCGTAAGGTTTGATATAAAGCTCAAATAATTCTCCGTGAGGCGGTAGCGTGATGTAAGTACAAGCGGCGCCGTACGCAGGGGAATCCTCGAGTCCACCAGCAGCAGCAGTAGCGCACAGCGCGAGAGAAGGGCTCATATAACCGACGATATATATCAACATCAGCAACGGGCCGTCAACCGGGAAAAGTTCTCGCGGAAGATAGGAACGTTGAGAGTCGACTCTTGTCGCACCGGTGTAGCTTCGTATATACAGTCGTCTCTCGCACATTGATCTTGATTACTCGTCGGGTTAATAAAGACCTTCGAAATAAAGCGAGTCGCTCCGGGTATTTATGTCCGCGTTTATACGAAGCCAGCTGAGAGATAAATCAAGTGGCAGCTTCATGCGTTTATCTTTTTTTTTCTTTTTTTTTTTTAATAAAAATGGAAAAGGCGAGAAACTATTAATTCTCTTATTTCGCGAGCGATTTCAATCGATGATGACTCGGTGTTTTCTCGACTCGACTTTTTCCACGAAACTCCGTAATTAAAGAGTTAATGCGAATGTCGGCGTCGAAGCGACGTGGTTCAACTCGATAAAAGCCGCGAACTTTATTGGAACTTTGTAAATTTCTCGAAGACGGCAGAGGCACCCTCGTGCGGCAAAGTGCGCCGCGAAAGCGGAGAAACGCGGAGCATCTTACCCCTTGCGTTCGCATAAACGCAATAATTCGGAGTGGCGGTTCGCAGGGGTCGAGAAGAAGGAGGAAGGAGTTGCCGGGGTGGTTGGCATGCGCGTAAATGTAGTTATAAATAAATCTAGAGGCTCTTAATGTTTGCCGTGCTCCGCGGAAGCGGCGGTGGAGCGTAGCGAAGGAGAAATTCGGGGCAAAGAAGCAGGGGATGGGGGTGGACGCGACGAGGGCAAGGGCCCCGAAAGGGTAGAAACCCGAGGGTCGGGTACTTCTAGGATCCTCGAATCCCGCTAAAGTGTAGCTAGAGAAGACCGAGTCGTCGCTCTCTGGCGTAAAAAAATGAAGCGGCTGTCGTCGGATATAAACACATCGCGAGGAGATCGATGTTTTCTCGCTTCCTCTCTCGCGGAGCGAATTAATGACTATCGCGGATGTTAGGCAGGCAGGCTGAAATTAGCGGTCTTCGCCTTCTACGTGCATACAATTAAAAGAACACCCGTGTGCACGCAGCGCACACTCCTTGCTGGTGCCCTCGTCCGTCCGATTGTCGGCCGAGTCTTTTAATTTCTTTTCCTGCGTGGCCGCCGACGATCTCGTTCGGATAAGAGCGCGCTGTATTAAAGCGCATTCGCACGGTAGGCAAAGAACTCGTTACTTCGCACGCTCTTGGAAACGGTGTTGCGATCAGTCCGTGAAGAACGCGCAAGAAGAATGGGCGAAGAATGAGCGAATCTTCTCGGACAATTCATCTAATATACCAAGATCAAAACTCAATTCTTCATATATGGTATATAATGTAACAAAATTAGCAGAAAGAAAGAAAGAGAGGAAAACCGAGTCTGGATAAAAATGAGCTCTCAATTTGTTGTTAATTTCGCGGCCATTTGTCGCGATAAGTTTTCGCCGGATATCCGCGGAGGGCATAACAAAGGGCGCCCTAGTGAAATGAGTCGCGAAATTGTTCCGCTGGAATTTATCAATTTTCTTTGAGGGATTCTAATTGTACTAATTTGTTGGCCCCGGGAGGGCACCGCCACCGGCTTCCGCGGATCGAGGGGGAAAAGGATACGGCGGAATCCGATCGTTTAATCTCCAAGATCGCTCTCTTTCCCACCCCTTCGATAACGCGAACGGGAGACGCGCGTATATACACGCTACCAATACGATATCCAAAGACGAACGAACGCATCTCTCCTCACCTTCTGCCGCCTTCGGCGGAATGCTGATTCAGTCTAGCGTGAGTGAAATGGGTTGCTGGTTTCATCTTCGAAATCATCGATCTTCGATCTTCTCCTCGAGAGAGCTACTGTCGAATTTCCACTCGAAGGAAACTTCGCCCCGTGTTAAATGCAACCGGACGTCGAGAAAAATGAATCGTATAATTAAATTTACAGCCCCCTCTCTCTCTCTCTCTCTCTCTTGTTTAATTTATATCGATCGTCGAGGAAAAGAAACGCGATGTTTAATTTTTTATTTCCATTCTCATAATAGGTCGTCTCTTTTGACACGGGCACGATGAGCATTCTCAGGCTACACATTCGTAGCTTGGCATTTGAAAACAGGCGTGAGAGTGCGCGAATTAGATGTACCAGGATGCGCGCATTCACAAGCCATATATAATCTCTCTCTTTCTCTCTGCTGCGTTTTTAATTGATGCGCTCTGCATTTCTGTGCCAGTGGCGAGGCCGTACGCCCACATCGCGGATATTCATGTGGTAATGTTACGAATTTATCGCGTCTTATTATCTATACGGACTTCACCGGAGAGCTCATGTTTACTTCGTCTCACTCTCTCTCTCTCTCTCCCACTCACAGATCATCGATCTCTTTCTCGAGCTCGTGCAAAACACCCTTCTCGCTCTTTTCCCGCTTAAATGCATCGTCTTCATCTCTCTCTCTTTCTATCCCCTCTTTTCGTTAATGATATAATATGCTAATTTCGCCAAGATATATTATTTTATCTATGTATGTCAGTCTTACGTGCGCGCTTATATATACGTCTTACAAATCTGTTCACAAGTTTTTTGTTGAAAATTATGCATTATGTATGATTCCGCGTGCTTGCAGTCTTTCTCGCTTTCGAGTTTTTCCTCCGGATAATAAAGCGAGTGGAAGAAGAAAAAAAGTTCGCAGGAGAGTGCGACTCTGCGAGGTTGACGCGAGGCGAGATAAGTAGAACTCGGCCGTAATTAGCGTTACTTTTGCGAGGTTAATTACGAGGAGGATTCCGCCGGCGGCGAGATTCGGGAAGAGGGAAGACGGGAAAGAGAGAGAGAGAGAGAGGGCTGAAGAAAAAAAAAGGAGAGAAGGCCGGAGATGATCTTTGGGAAAAGAAAGAACCCGCGGCCAACGAGGAAAAGAAGAATCGAGAGCTCGGGGCTGATATCAAAGCGAGGCAAACAATACGGCGAGATGCTGATGCGATTGTATTACGGCTAGTGGATCGGCGATCCATTGTCTCGTCACGTTCTGCCCACTCGATTCCTTTATCTCGATCCCCAGAATACTCGTATCGTGTCATATCGAGTGAGCATCCATCGAAAGTAGCACGCTCTCTCGCCCGCGCACGGAGGGGTTCATCGTCGTAATACGAAATCTACCGGGATACGATACAGTTACACGCGTGTTCGCACGCATGATGCATCGTATATCGGTTTGATACCGTGCGAGAAAAAAAAAAAAAAAAAGATATTCAATTACCCCGATCGATCGTCGACTTCCCTGTCCCTTGTCTCCAGAGCATGAGATATTAGACAGATAACTGCATCAATAATTGATTATTATCTATATGTATAATCCCGTCCCTCTCTCTCTCTCTCTCTCGTATTATAATGATAGGAAACGGACGCGTCACGATCTGAATCGCAAGTCGCGATTTATTCGGCGATGTATAATTATATACTAGGCGCGTACTGTAATTATATGATAAATCCAAATGAGCTTGCGGAGAGAAAGAGAGAAAGAGAGACAGAGAGAGAGAAAGAGAGAGAGACGCGTGGCTGCGCGGCTAAAATAAATGAAACCGGCGTGAAAACGAAATTGGATACACACGATCCGGCTGGAGTCCGCCGGCGGAATTTATTTGTTTTTCATTCAAATGGCCTCATCTCGCATTTATGTATTCCATGATATTGCACTTTTTAAACTCGCCTGCTTTCATCGCGCGCCCCGCTGGATATTAAGACCTCCGGCAGCGGTGTATTAGTCGTATAAATTTACTTCGAATGACGTTGGATTCTCGTTCTCCGCAGCCACGGTACATACAACGACGCCCCTCGAACCATCTCTCTCTCTCTTTTCCCTTCCTTACGCCACTTTGTGGCGTTTCTCGAGCACGCTGCATAACGATTTGTATTAATTATAGTCGCCTCGCGAAATGCTCGAGGACGACGATTAATGACGCCGG